CCCCAGTCCATACATGGAAGCATCTGTATGAACAAGAAAACGTTTGTTAGGGACTGGGGCAGCCAGGACAGGGGCATTCACAAGAGCCTGCTTAAGTGCTTGAAACGCGGCTTCACAAGCTGGAGACCACAGGACCTGCTTAGGCAAATTCTTCTTAGTCAGGTCAGTCAAGCTCACTTACGTTCTTTCTCTACTTTTTCGGTCTATAGGAGATCGACTTTTCTCATGTGGGCTGTAATACTGGTATAGAAGTACCCCACTTGATCTCCCTAAGAGACATTAACTCGACCATCTTTTAACAGTATCTCCGGCCTTTTCAAGATCTACCCCATAGTGACAATAGCCAAGGGTGGGGCCACCTTTGGTAGGGAAAGACATCATGCTACACAGACAAAACTACGGCAGGCAACATATTTATACAAGGGCAGGTCCTCATCACTAACAATCAGGAGTCTCGGCAGCAACACAACACTATCACTCGTATTATGAACACATACCAGGCAACCATAACACAGCAGCTGATGCCCTCTCTCGTTCTAACAGCAACAGCACATTCAGGGTTTGCAGCCATTTTTGACAACGAATGGTTCAGAGAGAAATGGCCTAAACAAACACGGCATTGTGCAATATCATTAACAAAGGCAGGTCATCTTCCCTGACAATAATGAGTCTAGTTAGGAGGCTCACATGGCTAGCAGCAACACAACATTTCCACCTTGTAAAATGTAGCTTGGATCGTCACTGTTAAATCTTCTTAATTTCTTCTTGTCTTCAGTTGATTGATATATATACGTCTTTTGTATATATAGTCTTGGGCCAAATTTGCTCGCGACATTAATATATGTCTATATTAATGAAAAGTACTAATACGCAATCTGACTTACGGTTTCTTCAGGTTTATTCTTAGTTACTGATACATAATAAAACAACAAAGGATGTTACAGGATAATGGATGTTCAACAGCAGATGGTAATTGCTGGACTCCTGACGGGACAGTTACATCCTTACATCTTTACATAGAGAGAGAGCCAGAGAGCCAAGAGAGACCTACTCTAGCCATATAAGGACAAAACCCCCAACTTACATTCCAGAGCTCTCATACAAAGAATGCCGTGTGACTTTTGAATAGAAACATAGAAACATATGCAATATTCTACACACCTGATCTGTGAAAACATACTGGGCAAGCACAACACAGCAGCCGATTTCTCTTTCTCGTTGCAATCTACAGGTTTTCTTTCAAGAACATCCTTCAGCGAAGAAAATCACAAACAGATCACCGCTATTCCGGGAACTCATCATGGACTAGCAACTCTAATGGCACATGGGAGAATGCTGGCACAAACAGCACTATCGGCTAACACTAGACGATCATACAATCGAACTCTCACGTTATTTCAACAGATTTACTACAGAATACCGAATACAAAACCCGTTCAGGCTAGATACTATGGTGGCTTTTACCTCTTTTTGCCAACTAAATCTAAAACGTGCACATAATACCATAAAACTCTAACAG